TAGGCACGTGCAGCGTCTGGAGTAGGCACACGCAGCGTCTGGAGTAGGCACACGCAGCGCTTGAAGTAGGCACACACAGCGCCCGGAGTAGGCACGTGCAGCGTCTGGAGTAGGTACACGCAGCGTCTGGAGCAGGTAAACGCAGCGCTTGAAGTAGGCACACGCAGTGCTTGAAGCAAGCACGCACAGCGGCTAAAGATAGCGCGGGCACTAGTAGGTGGAGGCGTAGGCGTGGCTAGACGACGACTTCAGATGAAGGCAGAGGCTTGCAGGATCCCGGGGCAGTGCGGCCCCGGGATAAGGCCTTTAGGAGATGCTTCTAGTTTGAAAGCTGAAGCTAGACTGACTTTATTGGTTTTTTTTTTTGCGCCCGAAGCAATTAAAGGGCTACCGTAGCCGTACCGTATACGTAGGGAGGCGGAAAATGCATTACGCATACCACGATAGCCGGTCTATCGTGGTTATGAGGGACTCACTGTCCTACCGGGGACCCTAAGTGATACCCTCTAAAAACCGCCTTTGGGGACAGGCAACCGGCTGATTAAGCTGTATTGTGCCTTATCGTGAGCGACCCTCTTTTGGGAAAAGAGGGCGCAGGCGGCTACGAGCCGCTGAGGGAGTGCCTACGAAGGCAAATTAATATTAGTTAATATGATAATTTAATTTAATTAGAGTTGGCCTGAGCCGCCAGAAGGCAGTTCAGATCGTTAGTTAGTTTATTAGGCGGGTCCGAGAGAGAGTTTCTCGGCCTGCGGACTCGATAGCGAGAGGGGGGGGGGGCTGCATAAGTGGCTGCCTCACGAATTAAATGATTTGAGTGCGACCCTGAGGCTTTGAAGAAGTTCTCAGAGAGTTTTTGGAGAAATTGTTGGATTGTGGAGAGCTCTAGGTCCCGATAAAGGTCAGCATTATGGACGTACCAAGGTGCGTTCGCAGCTCGACGACAGAAAAGGTTTTGAACTATTTGGAGTTCATTAATGATTTTAGGGTTGGCGTGGGCAAAAACGGGGCCCGCGTATGGCATGACTGGTCGTATACAGACCTTATAAAGGGTACGCTTGTTTCTAAGGGACATTTTACTGTGTCGGCCCAACATACAGTTGAGCCTACTCAGATAGAACCGTGCGTGACGGGTTACTCTTTTGACGTGGGGCCTGAAAGTGAGCCCTGTGTCTAGAGTGACACCTAAATATTTGGTGGTCGTATGCCAGGGGACAGGGGTCCCTAGCATACGTATTGGTGGGGTGTTTTTAAGACGGCGTCGTTTATAATCGAAGTGAACGGCGGAGCTCTTCTCCGGGTTCACATCGATGCGCCATTATTTGAACCAAGCTCCTAGGTCATCAACTGACTTTTGGATCTTGTTCCGTATGAAGGGTAGTGAGACACCTTTGCAGTAGATAGCAGTGTCGTCTGCGAAGAGGGAGAGCTGAACACCTTTCGACGGGATGGGAATGTCGTTGGTGAACAGGATGACTTTATTGGCCGATTGTTCGGCTTTTATACTTTTTTTAGAGAGCTCCGCGCTCGACGACGGATTTGTGAAAAAAACGGGAAATTATTTAAATTAAAAGCAAATTTTTGTAAATGGCCAAGAAAAAAAGAGTATTTTTGTGGAAGTTTTGAAGTAAAAACATCAGACCGGTAACGAATTTGAATAAAAATTGCCATGACAACCAGATAAACAACGATGTCAAAACATGTCAAATTTTGGTTTTAGGCTCGTAATAGAGAAACGGCAAGATTTAAGTGAAAAATGAGATATTATTAATATACGAAAAAAGGTAGCGCAACAGCGCACACGAAGCCCGAAATTGCAGAGTTACGGAGAACATATATTTACGCGAACACTACACATTGAAATAATACTAGTTTTTAAGGAATTTATCGCGTATATTTAACTATGGTAACCGCGGTTAACTATGACATCTGGACGTTGAACATCTCAGTCCTTCCCCTGACCATGGGTGCTGTAAAGCTCACAAAACGTCGGGTATTTAAAAAGTTAAATATACGCGATAAATTCCGTAAAAACTAGTATTATTTCAACGAAACGAAAGAAGGTCTCAAAAAGAAATTTAAACATTGGCTCAATAGTATATTCCGGTCTCAACTCAACTCCCGCAACATGTCAAAAACAATCAATAGTTACGCAATCCCCATACTGACATACTCGTTTGGTATAATAAACTGGACTCAAGGTGACCTTATCAATCTGCAACGTATTATAAATACCACTCTAACAACTCACCGCAAGGATGACTCTTTCAAGATCCGAGGGAGGACGAAGTATAATAGATGTTCTCAACTTGCACAATAAACAAATCAAATCCCTTCGACAATATTTCCATCAACGCTCAGAACACTCACTTCTCCACGAAATAGTAACCTTAGCCGACAAACGCCTCACACCACTTAACCTCGCGGACAAAAACACACAACGCAGTGAACGGATCACTGGCGTAAAAAAGAAGATGGCCTCATGGCAACAGAAGTCCCTACACGGAAGGCACTACCACGACCTGCAGCTGTCACATGTCGACAGAAACGCGTCGAACGCCTGGCTGAGGCGCGGTGAACTCTTCCCTGAGACGGAGGCATTCATGTTAGCGATCCAGGACCAGGTCATCGATACCCGAATCACATTCAACTTCCAGAGACACATAATACGTGCACCTAACCTCTCCACTGATACTTGCAGACATTGCCACTCTAGCCCCGAAAACAAACAACACATAACATCCGCCTGTAGAGCCCTTGCACAAACCGACTATAAGCATCGGTATGACCAGGTTACCTCCATAATACACCAATATCTTGCCCTTAAATTTAAATTCATACAAAAAATGACGCCATATTACAAATATAAGCCGGACACCATATTAGAAAACAATAATCATAGAATCTACTGGGACAGCACCATTATCACGGATAAAACTATTCACTTCAATGGGCCCGATATCACAGTGTATGACAAAAATAACAAAACTACTTACCTTATTGATATTGCCATACCAAACACCCATAACATTCAATCCACCATAGCTGAAAAACTTACAAAATATCAAGATTTCGCTATAGAACTCAAGCGTCAATGGAGAGCAGAAACCATCCATATAGTCCCAATGGTTATCTCATCTACCGGAGTCATACCTAAAAGCCTACAACGCAGTCTAGATATTTTGCAAGTACCCCAACACACACTTCACACACTGCAGAAAGCTGTCATTCTCAACACCTGCCGACTCACACGCAAATTCCCCACCACGTCATCCGTCACCTCTGCTTACACCATCACCTAGCACCTGCTCATGCTTGGCTTCGGCCCGTGTGATTAGGTTTTAAGTTACCTCTTTAATAGGGAGAATATAGATATGTACAAAATAATAATAATAATAAAGTTCTATTTCTCTACACATTTACAGAGTTATCAAAATAGTAAATAAATACATAGAACTATTAGAAAATCCTTCTTGTTTTATGTATTCCCTCTTGGGTAAAAGCCTCCTTCGACTGGTTAGTTTAATTTAAATTTATCTTGTATATCAAAAATTATTACCATATTATCTTGTATATCAAAAATTATTAATGTGTGTTTTGGACTACAGCGTATATTTTTTTTATTTGAAAGGCAATATGGTAGAAATAATAATAAATCATAAAATGCCCTGGTATTGGGAGCATAGTTCTGAGAAAATTAGAGAGAGAAATTGAGGTGAGTGTAATATTTATACTAGAAAGAAAGAAAGAAAGATTTATTGCAGCACGCCACAAACATCAGTAGGCACTTAAATTTTAACATTTATGGACACATCATTTATAAACATTATAACAAACAAAAAAAAAAGGAAACAAAACAACAATTTGACGGATAAATCAATTTAAAAGTATGTATACTTATAGATTATAATTAAAATAATAATAATAGAAAGACAAAAAAAATTGTTTCTCATATAGTACAAGTATGTTGTGGCGCGTCATACAAACGGACCTCACTTAGCTTATGCTGTCGCCGGAGCAACAGCGCTAGTTTTCAGTGGGCCCGAACGGATAGCAACGTACAGACGTCCGCGCGTGACACATAATAATATTTTAAAACCAATCTGTCTAACTATGCTGAAATTGTTGATTTCAAACCGAAGGTATGTACATGTGCTTATTATACATGCACTTTATTTTTATTTTCAAAAATGTTGTGTTACCAGTGTGTTAACTTTATTAATTAATATGTTATATTATTACAAAAAGTTATTATCATGTTGTATTCATTATCTTATATTAATATATGTATATTTTTAACACTTACTTCTAAAACTTATACATAAATTACATCAGTTATTAATTGATGACACTAAATTATACTTTTTTTAGCCTGCAGTCAGTGGACCTACCCGAACAGTATCCAATTTAAGGTTATATTATCATCACTTCACTTTATTAGTTGCGACCTTGACCGTCTGTGCTATGTGCCAGTACCCATTTTGGTGAGTAGTATGCTTCAGTCTATGTTCTTCTGAGTTAATATTAGATAGCATTTATATTTTTCTTTAAATGTTTTCAGGCTACGAAACCGTGGTGGCAGGTCGTTCCAACACTTTCCACTACTATTGATTATATCTTATATTAAGTAGATTAGAAGTGAATAAACCAAACTGCGGATATTCCTAAATGTAGGAAAATTTTAAAAGTTTTAAAATGTGCTAAAATTTTAAAGAGCAAACCACTAAGGCATTGTTTTGTGTATTAGCATAACGTTTGAAAGTGATAAACTTGTAGTTAAAACTTTGTGTAACAAAAACACTTCACCTCAGTGTCTACTAACGACATCTCGTAAGTTCCATTCACACAAGCCCTCATTGCTACATATGCTTCTACTTCTCACCACTACAGTGGTTGACGTGTAGAGAATGCTTATAGGAATGCCTACATTAAGTTCGCCCTTTGTTTTTAAAAGATTTAAATACATAAATACTTTTTTATTACAATTTAAATGTCAATACCGTCAACATTCCAGGCTCCCTCCACTTGATATGCAGATGTAGAAACACCAAACTTGAAATCATTACTAAACTTTCTTTGCCTGTTATCACTCCATGCTTCAACTCCTATTATACTGGAAGAGATGATGATTTAAATGAGTCCAATGAATATTTGAGAAGAGCTCTGAGGTTATGGGTTATAGAAGAAATAAAGTGAGCAAGTTATTAAAATTATAGAAAGGTAAATATATATAGTTTTTTTTAAATTACTAAAATTTGAGAAGTCAAATAAAAGGTATTTTTTTAAATAGCGTGATTAGAATAGCTTTCCAGCACCTTAAAAACGGCAATACCCCAGGCAAGGATGGAATTACAGCGGAGCTTCAGAAAGCGGGTGGAAAACCGGTACTTAAAGTCCTTCAGAAGCTCTTCAATTCCATCCTCCATGGTGGCACTACTCTGGAGGTGTGGAGCAGAAGTGCGGTGGTCTTGTTCTTCAAGAAAGACAACAACGCTTTCTTGAAAAAATACAGACCGATATCCCTTCTGAGCCGCGTCTATGTGCTGTTTTAATACAGAACCAGGGTATAAAAACTGCAGGGCGGTGTAAGACAGGGTGAAGTTATATCCCGGAAACTCTTCACCGTTGCATTTGGAAAGGCAAATAAAAGTTTATTTTTAAATTACTAAAATTTGAGGAAAGTCAAATAACTTTTTATTTAAATGATCACTTTATGTGATGTAGAGAAAAAGAAATAGTATTTAATGGCTGAAATCAATGAACGACTGTATCAAAAAGTACCAAAAGCATCAAAAGTACATTAAAATCAAATTTGAAATTAGCCAATAAGTATATATGTTATTTATGTAAAGATCAGTAAGTGTTAGTGGAGTGGAGCATTCGTTGTATATTTGTAGCTTAAGATAATCCACTATCCTATATCATTCCTTGGGCTACAGTGGAAAATTAAGCAAGAAATAGGCAGCACCTTCCTGATAATAACTCTTAATAAGATACGTGAGGGTAATATACCTTAGGCTTTGCCGCCCTATAAAACAAAAACTACCAGGAGGACAGAGACAAAAACACAGTCGTATACTGTAACTAATTTATTAATGAAAAATAGCCAATTAGCTTCGTCAATAATTAGGAACACTTCGAAAAATCATTTAAAAAACTAACTAGTAACTTTAATTACTAACCTAACTCTCCACAATACTATAATCAACTATAATATTTACTATAATTTCAGCTATCAAACTGGCGTTGATAACGCAGCACCCTTTTGACCCTATAATATTTGATTGACCGATTAAGAGCTATTGTATCACAAAGCCATCTGTGCAAACAAAGCTGTAGTTTTTGAGTTATAAGAAAGTGACCATATTAACCGGATACCCATATTACACTCTGGTACCATAATAAAATAAACTTTGGTTGCCTACTGTTGACAAGCAACAGGGAACAAAGGTTTTCAAAGTTCTCCTAGTAGTAATGTTATAAGGCACTAGATAAAAGTAAGGACCTGATAAATACAAGCAGGAAGTCAATGGTTACAGATGCTCAGGACGGTGTGTATTTAACTTTCCTTGGGGGGTGCCTATATCAGTGGACTTGTGGGAGGATATTATGATGATATTTATTAGTAATAGATGGTTAGACAGATGACGAAATCGTGATTGGTCTTTCTTTTCTCTTAAATTCCTTATATTCTTACACTTAGCCTGCTGCAAGTTAAAATATTGATGATAATCAAAACATACATTTATCATTAACAAGAAGTGTTGCTGATTACGGAAAGTAAGATAAATTCGATAGAGTGTAGCACTGCGATTTGTTTTTAAATATTTTTAATTTCTTCACTTACCAAATGTAAATAAGACACCACAGTAATTTCATAATAAAATGTGTTTCTTTAAATCACGCCACGCTTCATGCAACCTCAACTAACCGATTGATATTCGTAAAATATAATCAGTAATTATAATCACTATATGATAACAGAAATTATCTCTTTTGATGTAGATAAACAAATACGTTACGGTGTGCCCTATATAGTATTTTACTGTACGTAGCAAATACTGGTAAAATACGTAAGAACTCGATGTGTGTAGCCGAATACCGGGCTATAAGTTCTAAGGGGTTGGATTTAGAATCGTTTGGCTGGAATTTGGGGGAGTAAGATGATTTATTTAGTAGACGTTTAGTTCTTGATTATAATAATACCACTCACATTAAAAAGTAGTGCACCGTTATCGAGAAAATAAATAAAAACTATTACCTATAACCTAAAAGGCGTAAAGTTCGGAAAATGATAATCATATGTCTCTCATCAATGATCTCTTTTTTATTATTAAATATTAACTGACTTTACGGCTCTGGATTCTAGCCCTTCTGAGAAAAAAATTATACGATATTACTGTAAAAGCTGGATAGCATACAGAATTTTGTGGTTGTGGCGGGAGCAAAGGGAACATGACTTTATAGATATCTGATCTGATCGAATCTGTACTGTACTAAAATTAAATCAGCACTAACAAAACAAGTGACCCAACTCTTATAATCTCTAAATTTTCCACTAAACAAATTAACAATATTAACCTATTACGTAAATCCAAAGAATTATGAAGTTATTCTATAATTAATTACAACATTTATTACAAATTTAAATTCTTTTAATTCTTTTTTATTATTATATTTATATGTATTTAGTTTTGTAGGCGTGATTTATATCTATAACTATGCCAAATTATAGATTTGTGGCACCTAGAGTCTATGAGTAAAACCGCGGACGGACGGACGGACTTGGCAAAACTATAAGGGTTCCTTGTTGTGTAACTACGGAACCCATAAACGATGACGAGGACGACGACAGCTCCATTAGTTGTGGTGGAGTTGATTACATAAATTCATTTTATGTAATCAACTCCACCATTACCAACACCACATATTCTTTGATTATATTCAAGTATATCATCAAAGTTTTTAATCTAGGGCAGTCATTAATTTATATAACTTTACTTATCTCTAGCAAAAAGAAGTAAGCAATAAATATAAAGAAACTGATTTTGTGTTTTGAGTTATCTGTTTCTAATTTATTGTGGTATTATTCTAGATAAAACTGAAAACGATTTGGAAGGAATCGATATCCAATTCTCTTAAAGATTGAATATAATAACGATTTTTTAGTTGGAATGCAATAAATGTGACAGATATCCAAAGGTAGTTCTTACATTTGGTGGAGTATAATTGAAAACTACTGACTACTATAAAAAAATCACCAACCCCTAAATATTTCTCCACTAAAAAGAGGGTCGAAACCACCAGTTTTGGTGGAAAAACCACTAAGCTGGCAACACCAGATGGCTAAGGACCTTGCTTTTTAGCATGGTCCAGAGCCACCACAATCCACCGATTTGCTGTATTTAAGTTTCGCTTACCGGTGTGAGCTATATGGCCGGCCAATTGCTTTTGTCGGTTATTCTGGTTATACTGTGAATTTTCTTATTGCAAGCCCCTACAATTTTTTTTTTATGTTCGTGACTTTTTTGCGCCCTTAGTAAATACTCTTTGTATTTTTTCTTAAAACTATTCTTATTTATTATGGCTCGTAATGGTGGTGGAAGATCATTCCAGAGTTTTGTGGTCATAAATTTGTAACTACCACGAAATGCTGGTGTCCTATGTTCAGGTATAAAAAGTACTTTTGCACACTTTCGAATACTGTAAATATGTTGATTTTGTCTCCATTATGTATGATTTTTTATGTTTATTTATCAGTTTGTTACTGAACATATTCATTAAATTACACATTCATTAAATGCCACCTCTATACCGCTAATTACATTTTTTGATGGTCATTGTTCCAGTGGCTGTAAACGCGATTTATAATCGGTCGGGCCAAAATCATTTATTTTTTAACTTTGTTATTTTTTAACTTTATAATTTTATGACATTATTACTATTATTCATTTCTTTTTTCCTTCGTTTATTTATCAGTTTGTTCACTATAAATTCATTGGTTGTGCATAGTTTTTCCAATTTTAAATTAAGTTTATTGTTCGTTCTTGCTTATTTATTTTCTTCGGAAATATAATGGGAATAATATCAGTAATTTAGCGACCAGCAGCAGAGAAAGATTGTCTTTAGTTTTAAGCTATTGCATAGCTTCTATCGCGGGCCTTGAGCGCGGGGACCGATTCCAGAAATTCCGTAACGAAAAAACCTCACGCTCCCCACTCCGACGGGCACGGAGGTGTGGCGTTGAAAGCCGTGCATCGTCTAACGTCGTTTCAGTTCGGCAGACTTAGGCACTCGGCAGAGTTCGGCACGGTGTTTGGGTGCGTGCGACTAGACGTATACGTGTACACTAGCTGCTAACTCAATGATAAAAATTCCTGAATAAGCTACATGTATTGTAAGATATTAAAAATATTTTAAACAATATTAACTTCTCATTTATTCAATAAGAGAAAAAAAATTGTTTTCTTATCGGTCACCACGCTCAAAAAGTGTAACTTGATTTAATATCAAAGACTTAACTGCATAAATAAAATAAATAAATAATTATAATTGCATAAGTTGATAAAAAAGCTTGAGGATTTTTGTTCATTTGCTGCACGCTGTAACGAAAACGCTTGAGTTTAGTAGTAAGCTAGCATAGTACTATCTAAGTAAAATTGATCGACATTTCCAGGCGAGTCTACCCTAAGAAAAATACACAAATACGACAATTTCGCTACTGCGTTTTGTTGTATTTATGTGCAACGTGAACAGCACCACCTTTTTCAGCATAGGCGCGGTGGCACGGTGCACAAAAACACAGTGTCCCCATATAAACGGATCGATTGTGAACGACTAGTGAAAAAAGACGGGTACTTGAAACCTCTATCTTTTAGTAAACACTAGAGAAATCGTCCCTGACTAAAGTAAAGTAACTAAGGTAACCAACTAACTTACAGTCCACCTGATAGTAACTAACGTAGACAAATGTAGACTAACGTCCATGCATACCTTCAGCCAACTTTAGATAAAGAAACGTGCATATGCATTGTCACTTCTGAGACCAAAGATAAAATGCCTTACAGTCTGTAATTATACTAGCTCTCTTCACCCTTCAGATCAAAACACAACAGTTCAATCACCACTACTTGGCGGCAGAAATAGGTAAAAGGCTGGTGAATACAGATGAACACCAGGAAGAAAAGGAATCTTACCACCTATAGCTTTCAGTATGAGATCCCGAAACAAGTCAATCACAGAGTACCAGTGGCAGAAGACTCTAGAGACTGACTGGCAGTAATCAGGTCGTAGAGACTGTCCATTTCAGGCCCAGTCTATGTACACTATACCTGTAAAAAGCGAAAAATTCAGGGATTTTATTAAAAATAAAGTAAGAAAATAAATCAAACTAAATGACTTGGTAAAATAAGAGTGCAATCCCAATTTTAAATGATTTTACAAGATGGCGTCCTTCCAGTCATAAAATTATATGTCAAATGTCATGTCTGAAAAGTGACTTGAGTCATGAAATAATGTAGGTAGTGTGATATTTTTTTATTCCGATCTCGTCAAAACGTACATTGTTTTTCTTCTGGATTTCTTTGGCGATTTGTCTTTTCTTTAATTTGGATTTTGGATTTATTATTACCTGTTTGACTCGGTTTTTGTTGTAGGGACTTCTTGATTTACGTAGTTTTTATTGATATCAGACATCTGTAGAATCGCATTTTGAATCACTAGGCATCAATAACCTCATGACAGTTGACAGCTAACATCAAACAACATCAATTCGCAATTATGGTTCATAAAAGATGGCTTGATCTCTGCGACAGCTGTCAGTAATAATCACGCCTATGAAGTCCTGAATTTCTTAGTAGTACAGACAGTAACTGTCAATGTCATACTTTATGGGCATGCACTAATTAGGTCGTCATTACAGTTTTTGGTAAGAATAAAATATTTATACCACTGAAATAAAGGCAAATTCGTGGATTTGAATGACCAAAAGCGGTGTAATATATTATTTTAATTTATTTCCCTATTTGTACAAAACTAGGCCTACGCTACATACAAATTTGGACCGTCTCCTTTGGAAGAGTTATATTGTTGAATTAGAAATGATAATACAATCATTGAAACTGAATGATCTATTAGTTTCAAATAAACATGGTCGGTACGATACGCACGCCACCTAGTGTTAGTTAGTAAATACTGTTGCGCGCCATAACTAATTTTTAGTACATGGACACTAGCGCCATCTATTATTGAGTAGCTGAACTAGGAGAGCTTACTAGAAAACTCCATACTATTCATTCCATACTAGAACTTTCTGCACCTAGGCAGTCGGGACCGGTCTGTACTCGAACATTCTAGATGTTTCCGTAGAAGAGGCCCTATATGAAGCCGGTTGGGTTCGCGACCGAGGCTATATTGAATTGGCGATTCAAACGAATACGTCGAAGCGATATAACTGCGAACTTAGGTGATCAGTGTGTTTTATTATTAGTGTGTTTTTAAGGTGTAATTGGTGTTGGTATTTAAAGTGTCCATTTTGGTAATTCAATCGGCAGTTTTTACTGTCACGAAGCCTAAGCTCGTAGCCCCAACAGTACTATGCTTATTACTTTTGCGCAAGTACAAGCAATAAGTTGACAAAGTTAAAACTTCGTTGCCATGGCATCCATAAAATACGAAAAAACAAACATTAATTTTTATACATATATTACATGGTACAGTAGTATCGCCTTTTGTTTTTATTATGTACCTAGCTGTTACCCGTGGCTTCGCCCGCATGGTCACTGGGAAATGAACTATCCATTGCTTTTTGAATTGAAAGAAAACTGAGTTTTATAGATTTGTCAGAGATGCAGCCATTAAAAGGAAACTGAGCAAAATTG